AAAAGTGACATGTAAAAGTTGCCTACTGTTACCATAGAACTATCTGTTTCTCCTTTCATTCTATCAGTGTTTGCTTCATGTATTTAGGAGCTCTGAGGTGTGCTGCATGCACATTTATAACTGTTACATCTTTTTGGTGAATTGACTGTTATTATCTCTTAAAACAGCTTTTGACCTTAAGTCTATTTAGTCTGAGATTAGCTCCTTCTCCTTTTTTTCTGGTTACCATTTGCATGGAATATCCTTTTTCATCCTTTCACTTTCAACCAATGTGTAAGTCTCTTACAGTCTTTTGATTGTAGAATTCATTTGCATTTTTAAAGAGTATCATCTGACGAAACTCACTACCCTGTTGGGTGACTGTGCCATGAGGCCCACAGCCAAGGGCTCAGTGAGCAGTTGCTCTGGGAGGACCCCAGTACACCATTTACGGGGCCTCCCGGTACCACTCTGTGGATTGTTTTCTGCATGGCTCATGGTTTATTTTCTCTCTCATTTTCTTCCTTCTGCCTTCGTGTTAATTGATTTTTTGATGTGACACACTTAGAATCCCTTCTTATTTCCTTTTGTGTACATTCTATAGATATTTTCTTTGTAATTACCATGAGGATTACATAATACATCCTGAAATTGTAGCAATTGATTTTAAACTAGTAAGTTCAATCACATACAAATAATCTACTCCTTGACAGCTCTACCCCGTCCTATGTTGTTGTTACAAAGTATATCTATATTTTAGAGAGAGAGTCTCTTTCTGTCACCCAGGCTGGAGTGTAGTGGCACTGTCATAGCTCATTGTAACCTCCAGCCCCTGGACTCAAGCAATCCTCCATAGCTGAGATTACAGGTGCACGCCACCATGCGTAATTTGTTTTTTTATAAATTATACATTTAACATAGACTTATGGTTACACATCTCTTTTAAATCCAATAAAAGAATTAAAATCAGAGATACAAATCAAAATTCCAATAACACAGGTCTTTATATGTGGCTTCAAATGTCCACCTGGCATCCTTTTGTTTTGACTTGAAGGACTCCCTTTAGCATTTCTTGCAGGGTAGGTCCCAGTGTAATGAACTCTCTCAGCTTTTGTTTATTTGAGAATGTCTTAATTTCTCTGGTCCGGTGAGAGGTGGGAGGATCACATGAGGTCAGGGGTTTGAGACCGGCCTGGCTAGCAGGGTGAAACCCCATCTCTACTAAAAATACAAAAATGTGGTGGCCATGCCTCTAATCCCAAATAGTTGGGAGGCACCAGTGTACTGCAGCCTAGAGGACAGAGCAAGACCCTGTCTCAAAAAGATAATAAAAAGTATCTTAATTTCTTCCTCTTTTTCTTATGAGAGTTCATGTAACTTATTGTAACCCAACGAGTGCAAAATCACCACCGAGACAAAGACTAGGCCAAATTACAGGGTCTTTATTGCCAGGGGTGCTGAGGACTCGAGTCTCTCTAACCTGCGGCCTCTAAGGGAGGGTGTCAAGATCTTTTATGCCTGTAAACCACCTCCTGGGTAGGCATGAGGGGCTTCAGATATTTCCAGGGCCAGGGGACTTTGGTCATTCCAATTGTTACTTAAGTGGTTCACAGAATCAAGATAAGCGTAGTTTACACATTGCCTGGGCAGGGTGGAAATTACAGGCCTTAGTTACTTATTACAAGTCGCAGGGGCGAAGATGGTGTGGGTTTGGACTGTTTGCCTGCCACATCAGGGTTACAGAGAGCAATTTCAACAGAAAGCCAATGTGTGGCTGAGGTATGCAGTTTTATGGGGCATTTCCCATGTCACATTATAACCACCTTTTAATTTGTCTTTCAAAATTTCACTATAATTGGTGACTGCTTTTCTTAAATACTTCACTGGTGTCCAAGAGAGAGGAAGAATTTAGCCCTTGTTTAAAAAATAATAATAATAAACCCGGCTGGACATGGTGGATCACACCTGTAATCCCAGCACTTTGGGAGGCCGGGGCAGGCAGATCATGAGGTCAGACGTTTGAGATCATCCTGGCCAACACCGTGCAACCCCATCTCCACTAAAAACACACACAAAAAAATTAGCTGGGCTTGGTAGCACCTGACTGTAATCCCAGCTACTCAGGAGGCTGAGGCAGGAGAATTGCTGGAACCTGGGAGACGGAGGTTACAGTGAGCTGAGATTGTGCCACTGCAGTCCAGCCTGGGTGACATAGCAAGACTCTGTCTCAAATAAATAAATAAGTCCTAAGAGGAAGGGAGAGGACCGTAACTGCAGATAAGGATCCATTGTTACCCTGTGGCTATAAATCTTCTCTAAAAAAAATGAAGAAAAATAAAAGAAAATGTGTTTTACCTTAAAAAAAAAAAAAAATCTTCTGAGTTGCTCGTCCTGCCAGATGTTCTGTTGATAGCTTTAGTAGCCGACAGTTTTGTATTTACACAGTCAGAACAATGAGTGCTTCTGCTTGATTCCCAGATTCTCCAACCTTCCCTTGGAGCCACACCACCTGCTGTCTTGGCACTTCATGGGTCCAATGCTGCTTCCCGAGAGGATCTGGTTGATAGACCATGACCTTGACTCATGCCTCTAAGCCTAGCTTTATTCTCAGCAGCCACCACCTTTTTGGTACTAGAACAGTGCTTTTTCTAGTACACTTATAAGTGGATGCTGAAATCACAACCTGGCCATTCGGATGTTCAACTAATGCTTTATGCCACCGAGTCCCTGGAACTCACTGGGGCTCAGGTGTGTAGCACTACCTTGTTACTTTACGGCTGGGAGTGCAAACATTGTTGATGTGTTTATTTCCCATTTTTTACTTTGGAGGTTTTGTTTTGTGAGACAAGGCCTCACTCTGTCATGCAGCCAGGAGTGTAATCATGGCTCACTGTTGCCTTGACTTCCCAGGTTCAAGCCATCTCACCTCAGCCCCCAAAAGTGCAGAGCACATGCATGAGCCACTGCACCTGGCCTACTTTTGAGCTTCGAGTTCTTTATATATTCCAGAGATGAGTCTCTGGAGATGACTCCTTGGTCTGATAGGTGGTTTGTAAACATTTTTTCCAATCTGTAGCTTATCTTTCCATCATTTTAATCGAGTCTTTCAAAGAGCAAAAGTATGGTCTCTCTTGGCAATACTCTGCCACTGTAGCAGGAGAGCAGACACAGACAGTATGTAAATGAACGTGTGGTTGTATCCCTTGAGTAAGTGTCCATTTGTGGTAAAGAGATCTCTAGACAGATCAGTGCTGAGAGGTTATTTCATTCAGTAATAGTTGAGCTGCGGATCATCTCTAACCTCATGCTTACTTTCTCGTAATCCACTGTCTTCTGTTGCTGCTGGTGGGAAAGCAATTGTCAACATGTTGTTCTTCCCACCCTCCTCAGTAGTTTTTAGGATGTTTTCTTTGTCTTTTCTGCAGTCGTGTTTGGATGGGTCTAGGTATGGATGGATTTGGGGATTGTGCCTCCTGACTCTAAAGGGTCCTGGGTCCTGTCTCTGTATTCATTCTGGATTTTTTTTTTTTTTTTTTTTTTTGAGACAGACTCTTACTCTGTCACCAGCCTGGAGTGCAGTGGCAAGATCTCAACTCACTGCAACCTCCACCTCCTGGGTTCAAGCGTTTCTCCTGCTTCAGCCTCCCAAATAGCTGGGATTACAGGCAAATACCACCATGCCTGGCTAATTTTTGTGTTTTTAGTAGAGATGGGGTTTCACCATGTTGGCCAGATTGGTCTCAAACTCCAGACCTTAGGTGATCCACTCATCTTGGCTTCCCGAAGTGCTGGGATTACAGGGATGAGCCACCACACCCGGCCTGGAATTTCTTTGAGACATGTTGGATCCTCTCATATCATCTGCCCTTTGTTGTATTTTCCAGTTGATTAATTTTCTCTTCTGTTGTTGAATTCATTTAGTTTTAAATGTCTATGAATGGTAGCCACTAATTCTGGCATCTGTAGCTCTTGGAAGTCCACTGCTCTTGTTGCCACTGACTTCTATGCTCTTTTAGTGAGGCTTCGGCTGTGGCAGTCATATGCAGCACTGGCTGAAGAATCTCAAGGTAGCTAGTGTTAGAACTGAATTAGAGGTCCACCCTGGTGGTGGGGACAAACCCCCACGCATTTGCTCACAGAAGTCATCTTCTGTGTTGATGATGATTTTTGCTCTATGAGAGCAGAGGGAAAACAGGGGCTGAGCATTTTCCCTAAACGAGAGTGGACATTCAAATACCTAGTGAGGCTGGGTGCGGTGGCTCATGCCTGTCATCCAGCACTTTGGGAGGCCAAGGCAGGTGGATCACTAGAGGTCAGGAATTCATGACCAGCCTGGCCAAAATGGAAAAACACCATCTCTAGAAAAAATACCTGCCTGTATTTTTGGGAGGCTGAGGCAGGAGTATTGCTTAAACCTGGGAGGTGGAAGTTGCAGTGAGGTGAGAGTGTGCCACTACACTCCAGCCTGGGTAGATCATAAATAAGAGAGATAAATTGACCCGCAGTTCTGTAGGCTATACAAGCACAGCTTCAGCATCTTCTTGGCCTCTGGCGAGGCCTCAGGAAGATTACAATCATGGCAGAAATGGGAATGGGTGCAAAGAGAGAGAGGAGGGGCCAGGCTCTTTATAAACAAACTGCTCTCAGGTGAACTAACAGAGCAAGAACTCACGCTTCACCAAATGCAGGATGCTAAGCCATCCACGAGGGATGTTCCCCCTCTAACAAATGTGAGATTTGGAGGGGACACACATCCAAGCTGTATCAGGCAGTAAATGTTTTGTTTTCACTCTTAGCTTCTTGAATGACAATTATTTGTTCTCCCTGGCAAGAGAGAGAGATGGATTTTCCCTCCAGGTGGAAGGCAGATGCCAGACAGGGGGCAGAGTGCCAGCCAGCTGGGGTAGCTTACCACACTGTGGAGGAGGGGCCAGGGGCCTGAAGTTGCAGGCACACAGGTGGATGTAGGTGGCCGCCAGAGTGTAGGCAGGCTGGAGATCCTGGGTGTCACAGGGGTCCTTCACACACAGGCCGAGGAATGGTTCAAGGTCCACCTGAAATCAGGGCCACCCAGTCACTGTCTCTAGCCTAGGCCCCTTCTCCATACCACTCCCCAGGGTAGACTGGGGAAAGGGCTTTCTGTGCCCAAGGGGCCAGACTCACACTCACCACCCAGAAGCAGTTCCCCAAGCTGGAATGGGGGTCCTGGAAGAAGGCCCGGCAGGTGGGGCTCTGTCCTGGGCAGGTCGGCTGAGTCTTCTCGGTGGCCCTGCAGTCACCATCCACCTGGCAGGACAGACACAAGACTTAGGCCTCCCGCTGGACCATGTGGCTTCCCCACATACATCGTTCTCAGCAGAAGACTCCCCCCAACCCTGGGTCTGCAAAGACCACTGCAGAGCCAGCAGGCCACCTGCCTCTCCTGGGACTCTGCAGCGAGCAATCCTCAAGAGCCTCAGCCAGAGGGAGGAAGGGCAGGTGCACCTGCTCACCTGCCAGGCCAGGCTGAGCTCCTCCAGGCTGTGGGCCACAGAGCCATCTGGCAACGTCAGCTCATTGCCTGCTTTATTGTCAGGTGCCCAGAGGGCCAGCGGATATGCCTGTGGGGAGGAGGGAAGCTGAGGAGGTCCTGAGAGCCCGTGATCCTCCCCCTGGAGACCTATATGAGAGACAAGCCTGAGACCCACTGAGAAGCGGTAGAATCCTGCCACCTCCACCCCAGACTCCCGGAGCCCAGGGCTCTGACTCCATAACCTCATGAAAGGAGGGAGAGAAAGCACAAGGACTGAGGACAGCATGTTTCCCCCGACCCCTCTCCACATCCTCAGCTCAAGTGGCCGGAATCCAGGCCCACCCCTTATGTTCATTGGCAGAGGGGCCACAGAAGGGCCCGCTCCACCCTTATTCCAGGGAGCCGCATGTCCCAGGGATGGGGGCAGAACGCCCTGGGCCTCAGTGCCATCATCTCAACCACAGTCACCGCCTACAGCCCACGGACCTGTCTCACTGGAAGCTGAGAATGGTGCATCCCAAAGAGGCTCTTGGTGGTGGGTCCAACCCTGCCAGGGCCCAGACTCACCGTGGTGCCAGAGGCCCAGAGTCAGGCTGCAGAGGCTGGTGGGCATGTCACAAGAGACGGAGACCCCATCCTTACTGGCCAGCTCAATCCTGGGGACGTCCCTCCGTGTCATGGCAGGGGGCAGCTGGAGGTCTGGACAGCTCTCCCCCAGCAGGTATGAGTTGTATAGCCTGTAGACCTGTGGACCAGAGTGGGTGGGCAGGAGGGCTGACCCACAGCCAAGGGACAAGCTTGAAAGTGCCATCCCCCAGAAAACCTGCCCCAGGCACAGGTCTCCAGGGGAAGCTTGGGCCTCTCCTCACCTGTAGGCTGGGGTAGAAGATGAGGGTCACATGTTTCAGCTCCATGGTCAGGCCCATGAGCCCCAAGCCTGTCCAGCTCAGCATCAGGGAGAATGTGTTGTGAGCAAAGTCTTGGGCCAGGAGGATGCTGCCGCACTGGAGGCTGAGGTCCGACACCCGGCCGTCGAAAGTCACCACATGCTGTGCCCCAGCCACCAGGGCATGGTCTGGGGAGAAGCAGCTCCAAAGGCAGGGTGAGTGGAGCCAGCTCCACCCACCGCAGTGGGAGCACAATGCCTGCTGGGCACCCCAATGCCTAGAGCCCCGGCTTAGCCTGCGCTGAGGCCAGGAGTCCTCCTCCCCTGGTGCAGCAGCCAGAGGCCCAGTGATCCCCCACCAGCTTCAGGATGACATGAGCTGAAGGGCTACAGCCAATTCAGCCGTAATGAGGAATTGAGTCCTGAGACCCGCTACAAAACTGCTGTGCTAAGTAACAAAACCTGGCTCAGACCCATGTATTCTATGCTTCCATTTATATCAGATGTCCAGTGCAGGCACAGCCATGGACACAGCAGGCAGACTGGCAGCTGCAGGGTTTCATTTGTGGGTAGAAACGTTTTAAAATCGATTATGGTGAGGCATGCACAGCTCTGAATAAACTAGAAGCCACAGAATCATGCACTTAAAATTCACAGATTGGCCAGGCACGGTGGTGCTAAGCCATCCCAGCGCTTTGCAGGGCTGAGGTAGGAGGATCACTTGAACCCAGGAGGTCAAGGGTGCAGTGAGCCGAGAGCACACCACT